CAGGAGTGTGATCTTCCCCATGGCCTTCTATGGATCCCCGACCCTGAAGATGACCAAGTTTCTAGGCTGCACTCAGATAAGTAAAAACATGGGTACACCAAACGACAGCCTCGACAGCGGCCGCTGAGAGCTCTGCGACCTTTTGTTGGTGGGTTTACGTTCTGGGATACCATCCAGGTTTCAGGTCTCCTACCTGTAACCAGCCTCACAAGTCACAACCCCAGGCCTATCCTCAAATCAGCCTTATTGTAGCCAGCTATCCCTCGATGCGACTTTCCCAGGAGCCCTCAGAAACTACATATGTGGGGATATGCAATAGGTGTATCTGGGGGTCGCTAAGTGGTGTCAGTTGAGTCTGGGGTTCAAGACACGTGTGCATTCACTCGACCCTGATGTATTTGAGAGGTTTCTTGTTATAAGTTCTCTCCCTCCCTCCTATCAGTCTAACTATGTCACATATACAGGTGTGTGTCCGACAAACTGAAAGTGCTGTGTAGGATGCACTGTGTTTGTATAACAATCTATCTATCTAAGTTGTCTACACACGCATATCCATACATACATAGATATATATATATATATGTATCGATCTATCTATCTACATATGTATGCACACAAACACAAACATATTGTGTGTGTATATATATATATATGTATACACACCGATATACATATGCCTTTATCTATTGTACTATGCTTTTTTACAGACGTTTTTTTATATTGTCCCAATATCTGTGTAAATGTGTATATTTATATATATATATATATATATATATCTATGTTTATATTTAAATGTATCTATATATCGATATATCTATATATATGTATATATTATATCGATAAATCTATATATCTATATATATAAAAATATAAATATATATATATATATATATATAAAAATAGATATATATATATATATAAATAGATATATATATATATATATATATTCCATATGTGTACTGAAAACAGCCTATCGTGAATGGCTAAATCACGAAACTATTGGCCGCATCTGTCTCTCCCTGTTTCCTCCCTTTCTTGCTTCCTTGCTGCCTTCCTTTCTCTCCCCCTGGGGTTTGTCGATTCTCTCTCCCTCTCCCTCCCTCTCCCTCTGGGTGTGTCGTTCTCTTTCTCTCTGTCTCCCTCGTGCCTCCCTTTTTGCCTCTGTGTGGTCTCGCCCTGCTGCAAGACCCAAGCCAAGGATGTGGTCAACGTTGCCAAGCATTGGCTCACTTCGCCGCTCTGTGAGCTTCAAGCATGCGAAGGCCAAATTGGCCAGGACGAAGAGCCCCAGCACGGGTTATCTTACACAGTGTTGAGCAGGCTTTCCTAATGCCGTGCGATCCGAGGAAGAAAAGCTTGGTCGTGCGTCGTGAGGACGGGCGTGGATGCACAAAGGTGACGGGCAAGCCGCAAGAACTCCGCGAAAGTGCCGCCTATCCGGTGGATTTTGGTTTCGCTATGGTTCCGCTTCCTGGCTATATGTTCTGTGTCGTGCAAGAATATATATATATATATATATGCTTGCAATCCAGGTTGTTGCCGGCCGAGACCGGAAAGGAGATGGGCAACAGAGGATGGTGGTCTGATGACTCGGAATCTGAGGAGGGAGTGATCGATGATGTTGTGTTGTGCCCGGCAAAATGCAAATGGCGCCGGGCCCTTAAAAGGCTTTCCTAGTGAAAGGAGGCACTTACGTTCTAGGGTCTGCCGCGGTCGTTTGGAATGCAATTCACTTTAAATAGAGGGCACCTGTGATGTGAAATGGTCCTATAGGGGTGCTAAGGCCTGCGTAGCAGTTTTGCAGCCGTTGGGGCCCGGAGGTGCGTGTCACTGCGTGTCACCGGGGTCGGAAGTGCCCTCGAATACAGGGCACTTAGCACAAAAGAGGGCACTTGGTATATCAAGGAACGTGTCACTGCGTGTCAATGCGTGTCGCTTATAGCCCTCAAAACCACTTTTTCGTGCCTTGCCAAAAAACGAACCATCCTGCGAGATCGGCTCGAAACTGGGCTTGAACTATCTCCCGTGTCATTTTGATACCGGAGAACATGACCGAGAAACGAGGCTGGGATTTTTAAAGCGTGGGTTATATATATATATATATATCTATATCTATATATACATATATATATATATATGTATCTAATATGTATGCACTGCTTTGTCACAGGTCTTGGTGCGATCCTCAAAGAGAACAACCGGAAGAGACTCGAAGCGCTCAAGCAGAAGAAAGATAATGGTGAAAGATCACCTTCGATCGAAACCTTGCTGGATCAGCTTTATGACGAGTCTAGCCAACCACTTGAGACCAAGGACACGCCAAGGTACCGGCTGAAATCCAAGGGGAAGGACGATCGTGCAGAAACAAGCAACAAGTCTAAGGACAAGCGCTCAAACAGCCCCAGCCCGCCAGAGAAAAAGAGGCTGAAGTCTTCAGCAGCAACCAAGCACAACGACCACAGCCGCAGCAACCTAGAGAAGCCGGCCCGCAGCGCCAGCAGCCCACCACAGAAGACCGAGAAGCCCAAAGCCGCAGAGCCAGCAACGAAGAGCAAGGACAAGGAAAAGGCCCGCAGTGCCAGCAGCCCGCCAGAGAAAGCCCGCAGCACCAGGAGCCAAACAGAGCCAGCAACGAAGAGGAAGGAGAAGGAGAACAACAGCAGCCCAGGCTCAGACCCAGCAAAGACGGCAAAGGAGAAGGACAGCAGCAGCCCAGGCTCAGACCCAGCAAAGAAGACGAAGGACAAGGTCCGCAGCAGCAGCAGCAGCCCGCCAGAGAAGGCTGGCTCAGACCCGGCATTGAAGACGAAGGAGAAGGTCCGCAGCAGCAGCAGCCCGCCAGACGCAACAAATTTAAAGAAGTCGAAGGAGAAGGAGAAAAGACGTAGTGGCAGCAACCCACCAGAGAAAGCCCGCAGCAGCCCAGGTTCCAACGAGCCTAAGGAGAAGCCCCGCAGCACCAGCAGCCCGCCCAGCAGCAGCCCAGCTTTAGACCCAACAAAGAAGACTGACGGGAAGGAAAAGGCCCGCAGCAGCAGCAGCCCGCCAGAGAAGGCCAAGCCCAAAACCGCAGACCCAGGTAAGACGAAGGACAAGGAGAAGGCCCGCAGTACCAACAGCCCGCCAGAGAAAGCTCGCAGCAGCAGCCCGTCTTCAGATCCAGCAAAGCTCAAAGATAAGAAGAAAGGCAGCAAGGAAAAGAGCAGCAGGCCAGGGTCAGACCCAGCAAAGAAGACGAAGGAGAAGGAGATTAGCAACAGCCCAGGCTCAGACCCAGCAAAGAAGACAAAGGAGAAGGACAGCAGCAGCCCAGACCCAGCAAAGAAGACGAAGGAGAAGGACAGCAACAGCCCAGGCTCAGACCCAGCAAAGAAGACGAAGGAGAAGGACAGCAGCAGCCCAGGCTCAGACCCAGCAAGGAAGACGAAGGAGAAGGACAGCAGCAGCCCAGGCTCAGACCCAGCAAGGAAGACGAAAGAGAAGGTCCGCAGCAGCAGCAGCCCGCCAGAGAAGGCTGAGAAGCCCAAAACCGCAGACCCAGCAAACAAGACGAAGGAGAAGGATATCAGCAACAGGCCAGGCTCAGACCCAGCAAAGAAGACGAAGGAGAAGGACAGCAGCAGCCCAGGCTCAGACCCAGCAAGGAAGACGAAGGAGAAGGTCCGCAGCAACAGCAGCCCGCCAAGGAAGGCTGAGAAGCCCAAAACCACAGACCCAGCAAAGAAGACGAAGGAGAAGGACAACAGCAGCAGCCGAGGCTCAGACGCAGCAAAGAAGACGAAGGAGAAGCACAACAGCAACAGCCACGGGAAAGCTGAAAAGAGGCCAAGGCAGGACACAGCAACCACGGCACCCGGCAACGACGCAAAGAGGCCCAAGGAGGTGAAGGATGAAGGTGCGAAGGAGCTGGGTGCAGTGGTAGCAAGGAAGGACAAAAGGGAAGGCGCAGACAAGAAGGTTGGAAAGACAAGCCAGGAGAAGACCAAGGAGAAGAAGGATAAGAAGAAAGAGAAGGATGAACAGGCACCGAAGCAGAAGAAGGACAAGAGCCAGAGTGGTCAGGACCGGACACGTACGTACGGTTTCATTTTATATAATAATAATAACCAATAATGAACAATATTGTTAGTATCTATACATATTGTAACCGACACAATATCTATCTATAACGACACATATATATATATATATGTGTACGTATACATATATGTATACATAGATTACCTGAGTATGCAGGTGTGTGTCTGCAGGTGTGTACACATGTTGTCCATGCTGGTTATAAACTCAACTTCTGAACTTGCTGTTTTTCTGTTAGTACATACAGGTAGATGGCTGGCGTGCTACACGTGTGTCATCATGTAGCCAGGCATAGGCTGCCGTGTTTCTTCTGTTTGCGATGTACCAATATGTCACGGGCTTTGAGGAGTTTGCGTTGTGCTTGTTTCTGGGGTACCTATGATGTATATCAGCAGTTCCATTTATCTTCTCCTTTTCCCATGTCTCTCTTTCTCTTTCTTTGTCTCTCNNTCCCTCCCTCCCTCCCTCTCCCTCTCTCGCCCTCGCCCGCCCCTTCTGTCTTAATTTCTCCATATCCATATCTCCAGAAATATTCGAGCTCGATCCTAACCCTTCGACCCGAGGAACCGTCTGAAAGCCCCCGGACTTCGACGACTGAAGCTGGAACAGACAGCTCTAGCCCCCCGTCGGCTTTGCGAGCTAGGTGCCTGACCTTCGGCAGCGACGAAGCTGGCGACACACCAAGTCCTGGAAAGCGCCAACGCTTGAACACCCTGCCGAGCATGTCGTTTGGGGCCAACACCCCGGGCGGGGCTAGTGACAAGAGCCCCGAGGCCCCGCGCAAAGATCCGATCATGTTCGCTAGGAACCCAGCACACGACTCTTATTCCCCCTGAACACGACTCTTATTCCCCCTGAAGGCTCCGGCGAAAACCAAACGGATCACTGATCTGAGTCAAGACGAGAAGGATGCCATTTCCCAGATGACGTCCCCACAGGCCAGCATGTGTGTGTGTGTGAACCAGCATACGTAACTACAACAAGCCACCAAAGACCCATACATCTCAGGAGATTCCTCGGGATGAAAGGAAGAGGCAGTATTCTGCCCTGAGACGGGCCATCCTCAAGAGCGCCAACCCGGCCCTGTCCGCCAAGTTTTCATTGTGTGATGACGAGTCGAGGCAGGAGGTTTCTTTCACTTTGTATTGTGAATATGTACCGCGCACATGTCACAGTAGATGGCCTGCAACCTGTCCCTGCAGATTTGGGATGCTCAAATCGTTCTTGGTGAATCAAGGGGTGTCCGCCATAGAAGTGGAGGAGAAATACAGCAGATGGGTGACCGAGCTGCGGACTGACCGCTATGTGACGGTGCACTACTGAGTGTACATGCGGTCTGTGATCCCAAACAATCAATACTACATGTACGGTTGCACAGATGGCTTCTTCTGATTGCTGCAGGTCACGATTTTCCAGTTGGAGAAAATCTACGGGAAAAGTTGTGAGGCGAAGGCTTTTATTGAAGCCCTCATAAAGGGACACTGGGCTGCAGTACTACCAGCTTCTCGGGCCTGCGCATAGATTGTATGGACTTGATTCGCTGGGCCTAAGGACAGGTGGGGACGCCCCACCCCCAGGCGGGCCATGTGTGCTGCTCATGTATCATGAGGAACTCAAAAGCTTCATTCAGCTGGACTGCATGAGGTGCCGGAGAGTGCAAAAGCCAAGATGTACAAGGTTTTGCGAGAAGTGGTGGAAGAGCACACTACTGCTTCCAAGGGTGAGAGCACCGATGCTCATCTGCAGCTACACTGCCCAGCCCTGAAAATGTCTCGTCCATAATGCTTGGCACGATGAAGTTGTCCTGCGGCTGGGAGCAATCCGATTGGGGACTCATACTAGCTGCAACTAAGTTGAAGCTTGGAGGGCGAGTGAACGAAGCTTAGGCGAAAAAAATCCTCGCCAAGCAACTCGGTGAGTTTGCCAGCAACTTGGAAAGTGTTGGCTTCCTGGATCGAAAGACCGGGCGAATCTCTGGAAAGACACTTTGCATGCAGACTGTAGACTTTGCTACTTGTTCATGGCCCAATGGCTTGCTCAATCGACGAGTTGTGCTACATGATAAGGAAAGTCAAGAAGCCCCTGACTCCGGAGAAGCAAGCCGAGAAGGATCTGAAGACTGCTATCACAAAGTACCTTGGCTGCATGCTAGGTCTGCTAGGTGTTCGACAGTCGAGTATTGGGAAACCCAGAGTGAGTTGGTCTATGCTTCCCGCCGAACTATATAGACCCCCTACTACATCAGAACAAGCTCTCATAAATCTTTCTAGGGACCATATCGTCTCTGTTTCAAGGGTGTTGGTTGGCCACGCGCTAGCCCCCGAAAGCCTGATGATCATCCTAAGCCAATCCACCGCAGCTGTGCCAAAACTCCAGAACATCCTTGAAGCACTCCTTTCAGAGCCCTTGTCCCGGAACCCTGTAACCGCACGCCCTTTGAACTTCAAGGCTGACAAGCTTGACGAAGCTTATTCCACAGAAGCTCCTGGAGATGAAAGGGTTGAAGGTCCGCAACAGCAGCGAGCTGGCTTCCGCCTTAGCAGAGTGGCCGGGTATTAGGCATTCTCAAATATTTGTAATGCACTTCACTGTCCCACCCGTCCCTTGAGGTGAAATCATTGGAAAACCTCGAGCCCAGGGTGGAATCCACTCTGCAGAAGTGCCAAGAGAAACAGCAGGAGAAGTGCGAGGATGCCGAAGCACTTACAGAGTGGATTAACCAGACGACATCTGAGGTTCTCCATGATGCGGATCATGATGTTAAGGATGCACAGCGGCGCATCCACTCGATGAAATCCAAACAGAAGAAGGCCGAGACTGAGGCACAGGCTGAAGCAGAGGCCGACCATAGCGATGAGGAGCACAGCGACATGGAGGATTGACGAAGCCAATCCTGCTTTATTTTCGGTTGTGGACTACCATAGCCAGCTGTTTGTGGGCATCTTAGTGAGCTGTATGGGGATGTGTGTGGGAATGGACTGTGGATTCGAGCTCTCACTATTGCAATGCTGACCTATTGATCAACGTCCCCGTTGCAGCCAATGATGCTGTTCCAACAGTGCGGCTTTTAGCTACCGAGCCTACAAGTGTTCGGAAGGGATCTAGCAAGGCGGTCTTGTGGTCGATGACAGGTGTAAACATCCGCGCCCTGCCAGGAATAACTCTAGTCTAGGTATAGGGGTCCTACAATAAGAGGGGCTCGTATACCCGGGTTTCTCGGAACTACAAGAGCTGTGCTCAAGCTGTAGATTTTATGCGGTCTACGTCTACATTACATTGACCTGCAGACCGGCTTTGCATTAAGTTCAAAGCATGGCAGTGCCAACATTGCCAGGTTGACAAGTTAAGACAACCTACGAGGAGTTGCCCCGCAGAAAACGTACTCATCAGATGATGCAGCACTTCTGTCGACACATGGTACATGAACCCACAACATGTGCCCAGGCTGCCCTGTCAATGCTTTCTGGTATGTGCAGGTCTTTGGTAGTCTCGACGACATGAAATACAATACTCCCCAGGTCGATCCCCGCACACAGAGCGCTAGAGCTGTGACCTTGTAAGCTCTAAACAGCCTACAAGGATGTCCTTATTCGTGTAAACCCAAAACACGTTCCATATAAACCCAAAACACCTTCCCGGCATTAAGTCTCACATACTTCTTTAACCCCCGACCTTTTAACACTATAAACCCCGAGCCAACCGTAAACCCAAAATCTCATGCAACCCTGAACCCTACAAATCCTAATAGTTGGGTCCTGGGTGGCTATCACCGAGCTTCCTTGACTTTGGGGGGGGAAAGACTTCATCTGGATTGCTTGCTGATGATGACATGGACGTGGTGGAAGAGTTCCTCGAATTGGGCAAAGATGTGATCTGTCTGCGTATTATGTATGGCTCGTTTCATCAGGCAGACATGAGTGGCTACGTAGTGAGCGAACAGCTAAGGTCAGTGTGTCTACCATTGTGGCAATGCTTCAAGTTATCCATCGACGGTTCCCTCGCTCACTGCTCCCGTGCAACGCAGCAATTAATTAAGAGATGTGGGACCCTTATGATTATGGATGTCATGCTAAGGAAAAACCTATGTGACCTGGCCGATCGGATCGAAGCCTCGAACGATAAGCATGTGTCCCGCACCTTCTGGAGATGGCTGTCGAGACAGTCGTGGCGGCAAATGCTGCCTGAACCATGGGAGCTGCTTATCTGAGTCGTTGTTGTTGGCTGAATTACTTGCTCTTTCTGCCATGTGCTTCGTCGTGACACCTGAGGGTCCAAGTGGTACTGGTGGCCTGCTCAAAATGTGCTGCCTGACAGGTGCCAGGGCCTGTCGGGGAATGTGGTTCGTCAACCGCAAAAGCCAAGGTCGACCCGAAGAGAGAGGTCCAGCACTATCTGGGTCAGTGGCACATGTTCTTGCCGAGCGAAGCGATCCCCAGCGGCACGGAGTTTGTAGGGCTTTGGGCTTGGGGTTTAATGGTTCCTATAAGATTGAGGTTCGCTTGCTTCTACTCCTACAACAAAGCCCTCTTTCGCAAATTACTTCTCGGTCCAGACGGTGCTGCTTGGTCTTTATGTGCAATGTACTTATAGGGTCGTATTTGTCCAGCAAACTCAGGCACTTGAAGATTTCTGGGGCCGCAACAAAAACACCAGCTGGTTCCGCGAGCATCCTTACCTGGCTGCAACGAGATTGCAGTACGATCTGGGTAGATTAGAAATCTGCTTGTGCATGTTTTCGTTCACAGCTGTTAGGACATGAGCCTCGATCGCACAATCCCCTTGATTATACATGGGGACGACGCAGAATGCCACCGCAGGCGATCCTTTATGGTTGTCACTTGGGGTAGTGCCCTAGTGCATGCTACGCCGTGGGATTCGAAATTCGTTGCCTATGTGGGAGACAACAATCAGCTCGGAGATGAAGCCTACAAGGTCCTCGATGCTTGGGTGGCATGGTCTCTGCTGGAGTTAATGCTAGGGCACTGGCTGGATGTGGACCCTTGGGGCAATCCCTTCAATCGCAACTTGTCTTCAGCTTGTCTTCAGAGAGAGAGAGAGAGAGAGAGAGAGAGAGAGAGATGGGTGTGTGTGTGTGTGTGCGCTTGCAGGAGGGCGTCAGGGCCCTATCGCGGAAGGATGGCGGGGTGTATTAGCGATCCACAAAGGAGACGAAAAGTACATCCAGAAGGCACCTCTGCGTGCATAATGCACGGATCTATTGCATAATGCACGCATCTCGAGATCATACTGTCAGTGACCCTGCAGGCCTACGCAACCGTCAATTCCGCGACGAGCGCGAATGTTTGCTTTGTGTGCCAGGTGCAAGGGGGCATGGTGGGAGGTTACAGAACATTTCGGTGCAGAATGCCCGCCAGGCAAGCAAAGACCCCACTTCCCCACATCTTTACACGTACCACGGACCGTCTGCTGCACATCGGCAAACGTGACCTAGCAGCATACGCAGCAGATAATGTGAGATTGCAGAGCTTGTACCGGTACAAACTGAGGCAAATGACAACAGCCGAGTTCATACAACATGGGTGTCGTGAGAATGCTTGGGTGCACATGCCTGGTTGGCACATCGAACTATTGATGTACGACTGGCTTCATGTGCTGGATCTAGCATTGGTTCCAGATTGTGTGGCCTCGGCGTTGCTCGAGCTGACTGCTCCGGGTGTGGGCTTGTTCGTCGGCAGTGATCAAGACGATCGGCTCCGGAATGCATATGTGCAGTTCACGGCTTTGTGTAAGCAACACAATGTGCGTTTCTTGGCATGCAAGCGTGTCTGTCTGTCAACTCTCGCTCTCTCGCTCTCGCTTCGCTCTCGCCTGACTCTCTGTGGTATGAGGAAATCGTGGGAGGGTTTTCAGTCTGAGACTTGGCATGATATGGTTTAGGGTACATATACGCAGGCAAATAAATAAAAGTCTAGGAGATCCGAGGAAACAGCTGAGTGGTGGCGACAAGAAAAAAGTGCAGTTCCCGACGATTGCACAAAAGCATTTGTCTGGTGCAGAAACTTGGAATGCACATCCCTGCATCAAGCCAACTATAGCTTGCAATGAGCGAAACTTAATCAAGGAAAGTGTGATGATGGCTCGGTGGCTTATGGGGCTCACTGTAGCTGAAGCCTCCAAAAGGCCAGGCGACGTTCACGCAGAGCTGCACATCAAAAATTTGGTTCGTTGCTTCATAAAAGTGTCGTGCTTGATGAAAATTAATGTTGCTAGCAACTTAGGCTGCGGGCCGCAGTGTTCATCAACCTCGTGCGCATGAGAGAAGCGATCTCTGTCAACAGTGACAATGGAAATCGATTTTCAACCCTCTCCGATGCCAACATCCGGAAGCTTCAGGAGGCCAACTACTTATTCCATTGTGCACTGAATGGCCTGGGCCCTGTGC